TCGCAGACCTCGTCTGTTTTCCTCACATCGGTCCAGGTGAGGATTGTTATCTCCATTTTGCTTTTATTTTTTGCCCCTTGCCCCATCATCCCCATTTTATAGATGAGAAAATGGAGATTTTAAAAAAGGCTAGATCACTTGAGCAAAGTCACAGAGCTAAGGAGTCAGAAGTGTCAGAATTCAGCTGGGCGCGGTGGCTCAAGCCTGTAATCCCAACACTTTGGAAGGCCGAGGTGGGTGGATCACTTGAGATCAGGAGTTTGAGACAAGCCTGGCCAACTGAAATCCCATCTCTACTAAAAATACAAAAAATTAGCCAGATGTGGTGGCACGTGCCTATACTCCCAGCTACTCAGGAGGCTGAGACAGGAGAATCACTTGAGCCCAGGAAGCAGAGGTTGCAGTAAGCCGAGATTGCACCACTGCTCTCCAGCCTGGGTGACAGGGCAAGATTCCATCTCAGAAAAAAAAAAAAAAAAGGAAAGTCAGAATTTGAACATTGGGATTCAAAGGCCCATAGTATCACTACTGCACAAATCCATACTCTGAGAAGGAAATTTCCCTGTTACATCCACATGTACCCTCTGAGTCTCATTTGGTTCAAAACAGACTTGAATCACCCTTGGCCTATTAATGATGCATACCCCCATGTCAGAGAGAGGCCCAAATCCAGGCCCCCTGTGCCCTTTGCATTTAGTCTCAGCACCTGTTGCTAAGTCTCACCCAGACACCCAGCCCTATATCTCTGTTGCCCTCAGACCTATGTCCTGAGCCTTTGTTAAATGACTCATCTTCCAGCTCATGATCACACCTGAGAACTGGCATCTGACAATCTTGCCAGCTGTGCCCTTCCCTGAGGGATTCTGAACACTGTGACCCTCGTACCTCCTGACTCAGCCCATGGGTTCTGATGGCCCATTGTTTCATACTTCGCGGATTCTCTTCCTCCTTTTGTCTTTTCTTTCTTTCTTTCTTTCTTTTTTTTTTTTTTTTGAGACAGAGTCTCACTCTGTCACCCAGGCTGGAGTGCAGGGGTGCGACCTCGGCTCACTGCAACCTCCGCCTCCCGGCAGAACCCCATTTCTTTTGGGGGAGATGCCGCCTTATTTCTTATAGTCGCGGTGAAACTGTCAATTATAGTTCTCCAACTCCACCCACCCACTGAGGTGGAGAAATGACCCAGGCCAAGCCAACAAGATTAGTGTTTTCTCTCTGGCAACAATGACAGATTCAAGGGGTTGGCCCAGTTCAAATTGGACCAATTAGAGTTCCTCCCTGGGATTAATATCAAGATGCCAAGAGAAAGGAGATTTTTGTTTCTGTTAGTAGCTGCTATGTTCCCTCCATGCCCCTCCTTAGTACCTAAGATTGAATAAATCAATCACCAAGTCTTTTCAGGCTTATATTCCATTGGAGACATTAAGGTTCTCTTTGACCAGCCTGGGCAACATGGTAGAGTCCTAGCTCTACCGAAAAAAAAAAACAACAACAACAATAGCTGGGCGTGGTGGCACATGCCTGTGGTCCCAGCTACTCAGGAGGCTGAGGTGGGAGGATGGCTGAAACCCAGGAGGTAGAAACTGCCTTAAGCATTGTTTGTGCAATGCTCGCTGTACTCTAACCTGGGCAACAGAGTAAGACTTTGTCTCAAAATAGAAAAAAATCTCCTGGGCATTGGATGATACTAAGAAAGTATCAACTGTGTAAGGTGTGATAATGTAAGTTGGTTATGTTTAAAACGAGTCTCTTTTGGAACAAGGATTCGCAAATTTTTAAAATAAAGGGCCAGACAGTAAATACTTTAGCCTATGTGGACTAAGAGAGAAAAATGGAAGCTACTATGTAGATATTTAATAGCAAGAGAGAAAAAAATTCACAATTTTTAATTGATGAAATTCAAAATGTAGTAATGATAATTTAGTACAAATTTTTTTGTTACTATTCCTTATCAAGCTCATGCCTGTAATCCCAGCACTTTGGGAGGCTGAGGTGGACGGATCATCTGAGGTCGGGAGTTCAAGATCAGCCTGACCAACTAGAGAAACTCTGTCTCTACTAAAAATACAAAAAATTTTAGCTGGGCGTGATGGTGCATGCTTGTAATCCCAGCTACTCAGGAGGTTGAGGCAGGAGAATTGTTTGAGTCCAGGAGGCAGAGGTTGAGGTGAGCTGAGATCACGCCATTGCACTCTAGCCTGGGCAACAAGAGCGAAACTCCGTCTCAAAAAATAAAAAAAAGTATTTTTAGAGCAGGGAAATTGGTCCAACAGCTGTAATTTGCCATCCCCTGTGTTAAAAATGCATACTAAAATATTTAAGAATGAGATGATGTGATGACTGAGATTTGCTTCAAAATATTCTGGCATTAGGGAAGTGTGTGGTGGGAGTATAGGTGAAACAAGAATTGGTTTTGCATTAACTTTTTTTTTTCTTTTTCTTTTTTTTTTTTTTTTGAGACAGGGTCTCACTCCATTACCCAAGCTGGAATGCAGTGGTACAATCATAGCTCATTGCAGTCTTGACCTCTCAGGCTCAAGTGATCCTCCCACCTCAGCCTCCTGAGTAGCTGGGACCACAGATGCATGCCACCATGCACGGCTAATTTTTTAATCTTTTGTAGAGACCAGAGCCTCCCTATGTTGCCCAGGCTGGTCTTGAACTCCTGAGCTCAAGCAATCCTCGTGCCTCAGCCTTTCAAAGTGCTGGGGTTGCAGGAGCCACTGCACCAGACCTTGCATTCATTATCGAAGCTGGATGGTGGTATATGAAGATACATTATGTTATTCTATTTTACATATGTTTGAAATTTTCCATAATAAAAATTATAAAACAATTCTTTGAGTGGAGATGTCCACCCAGAAATGCATCCCTGGCATCCGAAGTTTAATGCCATGCTTGAAAGGCTTCCTCAGAATTTCTGGTATGGGGGAACTGTCATAAAGCATCAGGGAGATTGATGAATGCAAGGTATCTCACACACCCAGGCCCCTTGTGGGGCACTGCCTTCTCATAGCACTAAGTGGCCATGTTTCATATCACATGACTCCAAGTAGTCACTGATTGGCTAAGATTTGGTCACCTGACTGTGATGTGATCAAATGATTGGCCATTCAGTGACCAATGATATGGCTGAAGAAGAAAAGGTGAGCTAGACGAATCAGATTCTCTTTCATGAGACTATTATCTGAGAGAGCCTAGTGAAAGAGGAGGCGGGGTTTGACTCTGGACTAGATTGAAGACTGCTGGAACAGGGAAAAGGCACCAAAAGCACCTCTCCATAAGATGTGCCCACCAGCACCATGACAGTTTACCATTGCGATGACAACACCCAGAATTTACCCAGCCCTTTTCTAGAAATTTCTGAATAACCCAACCCTTAAATTGCATGTAATTGAAAATGGGACTAAATATGACTACAGAACTGGCCCTGAGTTGCTACTTTGTGCTCAATGCCTATGGGGTAGCCCTGCTCTGCAAGGAGCAGTGCCTCTGCTACTGTGCAGTACTGTTTCAAGAAAAGTCGCTAACATCACTGGGTTGCCCTTGAATTATTTGCTGGGCAAAGCCAGGAACCCTCCCTGGCTGAGCTCCAGTTTTGGGCTCACCTGACCTGCACCACTAGGAGAGTGACTATTTATATCCTTGTAATAACTACTTCCTCCACACTCATCTTTCCCTAAAACAAGTTATGTTAAGCCTTTGCTTTAATGAAAACTGCCCAAAATGCCCTTTCAATTTGCACACACCACTCATTTCCTTCTACCACAGCAGACACCACTGGATGGCTCTAGGCTGTGAGAAAGAGTTCTATCTGGACTTTTGGGAGCTCTCAAGATTTTTGACCCGAGTGGTGGTTTCATGGTTGTTCATTTGTGAATATTTAAGCTCTTCATATATTTTCTGCACTCTTTTCTATGCATATCTCACAATTTTTTCTCTTTCCTTTTTTGTTTTTTTATTATATTATTATTTTTTTTTTTTTTTTGACGGGTCTCGCTTGGCCGCCCCAGGCTCGGCGTACAGTGGCCGGGATCTCGGTCACTGCAAGCTTGGCTGTTCACGGCATTCTCTGCCTCAGCCTCCAAGTAAGCTGGGGATACGGCGCCCGCACTGGCCGCTGGCTAGTTTTTTGTATTTTTTTTAGTAGGAGACGGGGTTTCACGTGTAGCCAGGGGAGTGGTCTCGATTCCTGACTCGTGATCCGTCTCGGCTCCCAAGTGCTGGGATTTTAGGCTTGGCCACGGCCGCTTATTATTATTTTTAATAAATGGAGGTGGATCATACATGTGTTTGCCGGGCTGGTCTTGACACCTGGGCCTAAGTGCCTCACTCAGCCTGGGAAAGTACTGGTTACGCATGAGCCAACATGGCTGGACTTTATTATTTTATTATTTATTATTATTACTATTATTTTTGGCAAGTCTCGTCTTGTCAAGTTTGGGGTACAGTGGCCAATCACGGCACTTTGCAACTCTGCCTCCTGGGGTTCCAGGCGTTTTCTGCCTTCAGGCTTCCATTAGCTGGTTTTACGAGCCCACCAAAAACCTGGCTCATTTTTTGTATTTTAGAGAGAGGGTTTTGCCAGTTGCCGGCTGGGTTTCGATTTAACCTCAGGTGATTCAACGCCGCCTTGCCTTCCCGGGAAAAGTGTTGGAATACCGACTGAGCCACTGCGCTGGGCCAATTATTTTTCTAAACGTGGAAAATTTTACCTCCAAAGCTTTCGAACACTTTGCTCAGGAAAACTAAACACAAACTCTTTCAAAACTGTCTTTCACATACCAACCCACTGAATGTTTGAAAACCTGTGTGTTTTCTCCCGTGAAATAAAGCTCTTACCCAAGTTCTTCCGGGAAAATGAGGGATCACTTTAGGCAGTGGTGATGGCCAAAGTGACCATGAGAACTTGGTCTCTGCAGATCCCCACCTAGCCTGCCAGCAGGAACGACCCCGGATCCCCATCCAGCCCTCCCCGCAGGGCCAAAACACAGACAGGCGAGGAACCAGAGATGGCTGGTTTTATTAAGGGAGATCTAGTGCTTATCCCAGAATCAGCCCTTGCTGCCTATGGTCTTCTTGATCCAGTCCAGATAGCGGCAGATGTTGGTATAGACACCAGGTCTGTCGGACCTCCCACAGGGGTCTGAGCCCCAGGATGTGATGCCCTGGAGTGCACCATTACACACCAGGGGACCTCCAGAATCGCCCTAGAGAGGGAGAATGAGAACAGGGTTGCATCTGAGATGTCCACAACATCCCTTTTCCTGCTGTGCCAGCGTTTTACCAATTCTTTAACATGACTGGTCCCCTGTAGCCAATGGGGGTAAAAGCATTGTCCCCTGAGACCAGTCAGGACAGGGCTTGGGACTTCCACGTACAGACAGACGTGGTGTCTAAGGGTAGTGGTCAAAACACCGACAGAAGAGGGGAAAGAATGAAATCCCAACCAGGCTTGGTGGCTCACCCCGGCAATCCCAGCATTTTGGGAGGCCGAGGCAGGCGGATCACTTGAAATCAAGAGTTCCAGACCAGCCTGGCCAACATGGTGAAACCTTGTCTTTACTAAAAATACAAAAATCAGCTGGGCGTGGTGGTGCACGCCTATAAACACAGCTACTCGGGAGGCTGAGGTGGGAGAACTGCTTGAACCCGGGAGGCAGAGGCTGCAGTGAGCCAAGATTGTGCCACTGCACTCCAGCTTGGGGGGACAGAGCGAGACCCTGTCTCAAAAAAAAAAAAAAAAAGAGTTCTCGAGGGTCCAATCCAGGGAGAAGACGGTAGGGATTACATGTAGAGGACTGAGCTTAAGTTTCCTCCATTCCTGGTCAATAGTGAAGGCATCATTGATTGCAGTTGCCAAACACAGGAGAAAGGATCAAGATTCTTGTGAACACACACACACACACACACACACCCCATATCCCCAAGCGACAATGGCTGAGATCTTTGTGGAAGACACCACTGTCTCTATAGAACAATCCAGAGAGACTGGCTTTCATGGCAGTATCGCTGATGGAAATGACTCCATTCTTGGCCCATGGGGAAGAAAGCATTGTCTTTAGGGACCAATCATTGGCAAAGGCGGTGGGGCTTCCAGGAAGGGGACAAAGCCAGGTGTAAGTGCTAGGAACAGCGAAGTTGCGGTTAGAAGAGAGAGTTATATCTATAATCAGTCCCAAGAGAAAGGGATGGGAGCTCATTGAGGAGGCACTGAAGTCAATGGCACCATTTCCCCCAGCCAACTGGGAAGACACCATTGTCTCGCAAGGAACCAATCACAGAAGGGAACCAGCCTTGGGATTCTAGCCCGGTCTCAAAGAAAAGTGGCTGATCACCTGGCCAGTGGTAAAGTCGGCACAAATTCTATGATGTAATGCTGGGAACGAGAGCAGGGAACTCGCCTAACCTCTAGCCTCAGACTCTCTCCTTCCTGGACATCTACCCCACCCTCTATAGCCCCCAACTCTGCACCCTGTCCAGTAGGTAAAGGTTCGAAAGAAAACAGAAGCAATTAAATGCTCCTAACCCCTATGCGGTGTGACTTTCAGAGAAAGTTTGGCCTTCTCTGAACCTGGCTCCCACTCCATAGAGATAGGGGCGACCACTCCGGGTGCTAAGTCTTTGGGGTCACTCCCCTTACCACCCCCACCCCCATCCAAGCCTTGAACCTCTAGAGGGCAGTGAAGGATGAGTGAGGAGGAGGATCTCAGAAATCGCTCACCTGGCACGTGTCAGCCCCTTTGCTGCTGCCTGCACACACCATGCCATCTGTAATCTGCCCTGGGTAGGCATCCTCACACTTCTTCTGGGGAAAGATTTTTACTTCTGCACAGTTGAGAGTATCAGGAAAATTCTCTGAGGGGGAAGAGGTTGTAAGATTCCCTGAGAGAGCAGCCATTTGCCTTCATCCCTGTCTGGATCGAACCCCCTTTCTTTCCAGGATATAATGGGGAAGTTTTCCAGCTGCCTGGGGGAATTTTCTGACACTCTGCACAGGGGACCTCACTTCTCACCACATGAAACAAAGCTGTACTCGCTGCTATTGGGCTTTCTCCATCTAGAGAGGAGCCCTCGGATCTCACATGTTTTTTCTTGCCCTGAGCCAATTTCAAATCAAGGGGCAGGGGGGTTACTTGGAGGTGCCCCTTTATGACACCTCTGAGCCTCTCTTTCCAGTCTTCCTGCCGTCAGACAGCCAGGTCCTCAATCTGTGCTAAATTCTGCTCCTTCCAAATGTCACCTCCTCCTGGAAGCCTTCCCTGATCACTCGAATTAAAAAATACCATCCCTGCATTACTCCCTATCTTTTTACGCTCCACAATATTTCCTTACAGCACTTAACTCTACCTAATATTTTATTTTATGTGTATTTGCTTATTGTCTGTTTCTCCTACCTAGCTTGCAACTCCATAACGACAAGAACTTTGTACAGTTTGCTCATGGCTGTATATCCAGTGCTTGCAACAGCACCTGGGGCATAATAGGTGCTCAATAAACAAGAGTTGAATTAATGATTGAAAGTGGAATTGATCTTTTTTATTAACCTCTTTTGAGGAATAGAGTTCTTCAAAGCCTCTCTGAGGGGGAAAAACTTCCATCTGGCATCTCTACGTGCCAAAAGCAATATGCTCATAATCTCATTTAATCCTCCCAACAGCGCTTTGAAGGAGGGATGCATTAATTCATTTCATTATTTATTGATCCAGCCATCCATTCCACAAATATTTATTGAGCATCTACCATGTAGCAGGCACCATTCTGAGCACTAGAACACAATGAAGAAAACTGATGCAACCTGAACCCTCACGTAGCTAAAAAAAATCTATTGGTTAGTGATTCCCATTTTGCAGATGAGGAAAGTGAGGCTCAGAGATGGAAAGGAATTTGCCCAGGGAGAAGGGGCAGAGCGATAGTTTGAACTGATCTACTTGATTTGCGAGCATGTGTGTTTCTACAGCAGCAAACTGTCTCATCCAAAGCATTCAGAGCAGGAGCGAGGCAGGCAGGGATCTGAATGCCAATTTTGCCACTTTCTGAAGAAGCTCCTTGACTCTCTGAGCTGAGTCCCAATGTTTTCACTGTGAAGGAAGATGAGGGGCTGTCTGGATTCTGGAGTCCCAAAGGGACAGCTTCATTGGAGGTCCAGACTCTGGGGTCCAGAGTCAAGAGGGAGCTAGGACTGCTGGAGCCTGGGAGAAGAAGGGCCTAGACTCCTGGTTCTGAGGGAAGAGGGGACTAGGGCCCAGGTTTCCTGGGTTCAAGAAGGAGAAAAAGGCCGGGGGCAGTGGCTCATGCTTGTAATCCCAGCACTTTGGGAGGCCGAGGCAGACGGATCACTTGAGGTCAGGAGTTTGAGACCAACCTGGCCAACATGGCGAAACCCTATCTCTATAGCAAATACAAAAATTAGCTGGGCTTGGTGGCGGGTGCCTGTAATCCCAGCTACTCGGGAGGCTGAGGCATGAGAATCACTCGAACCCGGGAGGCGGAGATTGTAGTGAGCTGAGATCATGCCACTGCACTCCAGCCTGGGCAATTGAGTGAAACTGTCTCCCCCAGCAAAAAAAAAAAAAAAAAAAAAAAAGGAGGAGGGTCGGGGGGAAGGTGCTTAGGAGTCTGTTTTCCTGGGCCTCTGAGAAGTCCAAATATCCCAAGTGTGTTAAGATTATATAAAATCCTATACAACCAAAGGTCTCATAGGATAGCGCTCTCCGCCATAAAGGAGACTTTTCTGGCCCTGCTTAACAATCTGCTAGTTGGTTCTCTTTCTCTCACCACTCTTGTTAGCAGTCTGGTCTCCGAGGCTTCTAATATGACTCCCGCTTGTGAATCTCAACATCATGATCACTTTCCCTTCCTTGTCTCCCTCTGGGGGACCAAGCTTTGCCAATAGCTTGGGGTCCACTGAGCCAACCAGATCCTCCTCTCCCTCCCATTAGTGGACAAGCCCACTACCTCGGGGACTGGTGACAGTGCCCCAGCCCGAGATGATGCACGTCTGGCCAGGCTGGGTGCAATGATCTGCCAGGCTGATGGGCTTCACTTTGGGCCCCAGGGATGCCTGGTCACGCAGCTGAAGAAGCATCAGGTCGTGGTTGTGGTCCTCCACATCGCTGCTGTTGTAGCAGGGGTGTGGGATGGACTGAACCACAGGTATTTCTTGCTCTGGGCCATCTTTTTTCTGTAGGCTGTGGTCTCCCAGGCGTACTGTATATTTCCTGTAATGGCGGGAATAGTTTGGGACCCAGGCAGTGGTATTGAACCCGGCCCCCTCCTCCTTCAGACCCAGGAGTCCAGTCCTCAGCTCTCTTCTTCCTGAGTCGAAACCCCAGCCCCCTCTTTTAGCCCCAGCCGACCTCGGGCCCCGTCATCCACTCACGGTTTTTTACAGTGGGCAGCCGTAAGGATCCAGTTGCCACCTATAAGGACACCGCCACAGAGTAGTTGCTTGCCCTGGAACAAGGCTGCCTGCCAAGGCTGCGAATGGGGTCGGCACTCCTGACCCCCCAGCACCTTGTCCTCCTGTGCCCTGGAGTGTCCTGCAGCAGGAGGGAGAGGGTTGGATCGCCACCCTCTGGGGGCAGTGCCAGGGCTGGGAAGGCCACTGTGGGTTCAAATGGACACACAGCAAGTTCTCCGCGTACAACTTAGTGAGGGAGGTCCAGGCATCCACAAGCTGCCACACGGGCACACTCATTTCAGTCCGTGTGTCATCATACAAGAGTCACACACCCCAGAATGCCCCCACATGCTTCCACTTGAGTCTACATGCCCCGTGTACTCCCATGTGAATCTATGCCCCCAAGCAAGCAGCCCCCTACAGGCTGTAGGTATTCAGACAATTTACAGCATCACCGAACCTCCTCCTACCTGCTGCTACCTGTTTCTTGCCTCTGTCCACCCTGAGGAAAGCCCACAGAGGCTCCTGCATCATATCACACTCTTCACATTCGTGCACACGCACCCACATAACCACCGCGGCATTCCCACAGACTCCCCAGCACCACAGCTGCCTTCAGACCCCTGCCCTCCGGAGGCCTCCGCAACCCTCCTCACCTGCCCAGGCTTCCCCCAGCAAGAGCAGGAACATCCACGTCTTGGCTGCACGAGGTCGGGGGCGTCCCATGGTGAGGTCTGGTAAATGGAGAGGGCGGGGCCGGTAGACAGGAAGGAGGAGCCAGTTCTGGATTTGGGGACGGGGGAGGGAGCCGAGAATATCTGCGGCTGTTCTGGGCTTCTCTGGAGGAAGGGGGAGGCTGGGGGACTGGATTCCCACATTCCAAGGGAGGAGGGAGTCCTGGATGTCTGGGTCTGAGGGGACAGGGAGCTGGGAGCTGGGACTCCTAAATTTGGGAGAGGAGGAAGCCGGGGTCCAGACTGCTGGGTCTCGAGAGAGAAGGGCATCTGAGGCTGGGGTCCTGGAATCTGGAGAAGGAGGGTCCGGGGCCTGATGTCGGTGTCTGAGTACCTCTCTCTGCACCTCACCTTCCAGAATCCAGGGGCGGGGTCACCTACTGATTCAGACCCAGTGGAGGAGGCCCCAGTACTTCAGTTCTCGCTGCCTGGTACACGATTCTGGAGGCTTTTAGCTCGATTTTGGAGACTTTTAACTGGGAATCTCCGCCTCCTGCTCCTCCTCCTCCTGCACTAGAGCCTGGGGAGCTTCTGGGAACTGGAACACTGGGTGTGAGTGAGAAGGGGCGGAGGGGGCTGAATGTGAAATCTTGAGGGAGGAGGGGCTGGAATCTCAGACTTCTGAGGCTAGGGAGAGGAAGGACTCGGTGCTGAGACTCTAGGATCTGAAACGTAAAGGGCTGGGGGCCAAGACTTTAGTTCTGAGAGGGGAGGAGGCTGGGGACCTGGATTCCTGGGTCTGAGGGAGAGGCTGGGGACCTGGACCCCTAAATCTAAGGGAGGAGGGGCTGGGACCCGGGCTTTTAGGTCTGAGCGAGGAGGGGCTGGAGGCCCAGACTCCTGGGTCTGAGGGAGGAGGGGGCTGCTAGGGGCTGAGACTCCTGGGTCTGAGGGAGGAGGGGGCTCCTAGGGGCCAGGACTCCTGGGTCTGAGGGAGAGGCTGGGGACCTGGACTCCTAAATCTAAGGGAGGAGGGGCTGGGACCCGGGCTTTTAGGTCTGAGCGAGGAGGGGCTGGAGGCCCAGACTCCTGGGTCTGAGGGAGGAGGGGGCTCCTAGGGGCCAGGACTCCTGGGTCTGAGGGAGGAGGGGCTGGGGGCCTGGATTCCTGGGTGTGAGGGAGGAGGGAGCTGGGGGCTAAATTCTAAGTACTTTTAAAAGGAGCAGCTTGGAACCTGATCTTTTATGGGAGGAGGGGCTGCTGCCAGTAACCCGGAACCGAAGAAAGGCAGGTCTTCCTGGGTCGGAAACCAGAGGGTGGATCAGGCCCCGCCCGCTGCCCCCTGAGAGGTCCGGGATCTGGGAAGGCAGGTTTGGGAGGCACTGTGACCTGGTTTCCCCTTCCCCTGGAGGCGGCAAGACCAACCCAAGCAGAACCCAGGAGTCTTGCTGCAATAGGGCTGATGGAGAGAGACTTTAGGCAGGACTTACTAGGGGTTTAAGGGGGAGTTGCAAGGCGGTACCGGTGCCCTCATCTGTCCTTCATCGCCCACCTGTTTGCCCTCCACTCGTCTCACAGCTCAGGCAGAAAGAAGGTGCGCTTTCCCGCGTTTACTGTAAAATCATCTATTGGCTGTAAAGGTATCCAGACCCTCCCTCAATTTCCCCCCAAGTCCCCGCCAGGATTCAAACCCAGGACACGCCCAGGACGGGGCCACAAGGGGCTGAGCTCGACACTGCCTGAGCTCCACGTGGGCGGAGCTACTGCGCCCCTGACGTCACGAAGGAGTGAGCTCTGGTGAAGGAGGCGGGGCCACAAGGGGTGGAGTCCCGAGGGGAAGTCCCATTGGGCAAAGTTCCGAAGGGCGGAGCTATTCTGTGTAAGTGGTTCCTTGGGGCGGAGCCACAGGCTGTGCTGTTCCAAGAGGGAGGCGATGGCTGTCGGTGACGTCATAGAGACGGGCTCTGAAGGGCGTGTCCCTGCTCGGTTCCGAGGGGGCGGGACTGTGTGTTGCTGGACCTCGTGAGGGGGCGGAGTCTCAGTGTCCAGAGGGGAGTCTCACGGCAGATGATGGCAGTCAAGGGCGGGAACCATTGAGCCTGGAACCCTGCGGGAACCCCCTACCCCGTGCCCTTCGGCCTCTCTTGGTTTTCCAAGGTGCCCCTGTGGCTCGCAGGCTCAGCTCTCCATGATTTCTTGGATCCAGTCAAGGTAGTGGCATACGCTGGTGTAGACAGCTGGGCGCCGGGGTCTGGAGCAGGGCTCAGCACCCCCAGACACCACACCTGCCAAGGTTCCATTGCAAACCAGGGGGCCCCCAGAGTCACCCTGTACGTGAGAGAAGGGCAGAGGAACTGTTAGGCCACTCTGCTCATGACAATTACACAGGCCACTTCCTCCTTCCCAGAAAGGCCCCAGCCCCTTCTTCCTCCAACATCTGAGAGTCCCCCATCTCCAGCCTCTCCTCCCTCAGACCCAGGAGTAAAAGCTCAGAGCCCCCACCTGCCCGCAGGACCTAACCTCCTCCTCCCCCAGGACTCAGACTCTGGACGCCCAGCCCACTCCTGCAGATCCAGAAGTCTGGAGCTCCAGACCTCTTTTACACTGAGGAGTCCAGGCCGTGGTCCCGTCCTCTCCACCAGGTATCCCAGTCTCCTTCTCATTTTGACCGAGGAAGGCTGGGGGCCGACCCCTCTGCTCCCCTAAATCCTAGAAAGCTTGGCAGGACAGCCTCATTTCCCCAGAATAAGGTCTCACCTGGCAGGAGCCTCGGCCCCCCTCCCACAGGCCCGCACAGAGCATGCTCTCCGAGATGTGGCCGGGGTATGCCCAGTGACAGAGTTTGTTCTCCAGGATGCTGATGTTGGCACACTGCAGTGTGACCGGAAACAGCGCTGTCAGGGAAGAGAACTGTCAAGGATCCGCAACTGTCTCCAACACACTGCACCCCACCGCCCTGAGTCCTCCCTGCAGCTTTTCCAAAGGACCCATGGAGCCACATTTAGGACTCTCAAAGACAGAGACAACAGACGGTGACAAAGAGACAATCATAGCATGCAAGAGAAACAAATGGAGACAAGGAGGAAGAGGGCCAAGAAGAGAGAGAGGCTGGCCGGGCACAGTGGTTCACACCTGTAATCCCAACATTTTGGAGGCTGATGCCAGCGGATCGCTTGATGTCAGGAGTTTGGGACCAGCCCAGCCAACATAGTGAAACCCTGTCTCTATTGAATATACAAAAATTAGCCTGGCATGATGGCAGGCGCTTGTAATCCCAGCTACTCGGGAGGCTGAGGCACGAGAATCACTTGAACATGGGAGGTGGAGGTTGTCGTGAGCCGAGACTGGTCACTGCACTCCAGCCTGGGAGACAAAGTGAGACTCTATCTCAAAAAAAAAAAAAGAAAAAAAGAAGAAAGGAAGAGAAACAGAAAGATGCATGCAGAGAGCCAAGAGCCAAGAGGAGATGCATATGTAACTCCCCAGCACTTTGGGAGGCTGAGGCGGGCGGATCACAAGGTCAAGAGATTAAGACCATCCTGGCCAACATGGTGAAACCCCATCTCTACTAAAAATACAAAAAATTAGCTGGGCGTGCTGTTGTGCACCTGTAGTCCCAGGATTGCTGAGGTAGGAGGATTGCTTAAAACCCAGGAGGTGGAGGTTGCAGTGAGCCGAGATCACACCACTGCACTCCAGCCTGGGCAACAAGAGTGAGACTCCATCTCTTAAAAAAAATAAAAAAATAAAAAAGGAAGAAATAGAGAAAGACCCAGAGACCTCAAGGGGTGGAAGGAAGGCAGTGAGATAAAGGGAAAAAGATTCACAGGAAGATGATCACTGATGGAGACAGAGACATAGACAGAAATACCCGATACAGTGTAGTCAGTATAGATGTGGATATGGATATATAATACATATGTGCATTTATATAAGACATGAGCGCAGTCTCAGATGCATCAAGGGACATGATAAACAGAATTGGTAAACAGAAGTTGGGGATGGCGGCTGTGCAGGGAGACAGGAGCCATTGGGGTCCATTGGATCAGAGAACTTGTCTTGGCTGAAGGGGGCAGCCTCCATTGACTCAGCCCAGTGCTTGCTATTTTGGGAATGTGAGTTCTTCAAACTTTTTCAAGTGAATCCAGAAACTGGCTTTTGTATAAAACCTTCCAAGTTTTAGATATTGGCAGCAACAAATTCAGCAACAAATTTAGATATTGGCAGCAACTGTTTTTGCAATCCACTGACCCAATTTGGCTAACAGGTCAGTGATCCGTGACTCTGAGAGACATGGCTTTATTCCCATTCTAAGATGAATGTATTTTCACATTTAAACATCTCTGGGCCAGGCACAGTGACTCACCCCTGTAATCCCAGCACTTTGGGAGGCCAGGAGTTTGAGACCAGCCTGGACAACATAGCAAGACCTCATCTTTGCTAAAAATAAAAAAATGACCCGGGTGTGGGGTGTGGTGGCGTATGTCTGTAATCCCAGCTACTTGGGAGGTTGAAGAGAGAGGATCGCTTGAGCCCAGGAGTTCAAAGCTGCAGTGAGCCGTGATCACACCACTGCACTCCAGCCTGAGCAACAAAACGAGACCCTGTCTCAAAAACAAACAAGCGAACAAACAAACAAAAACTCTGAAATTAGAATGTGTCTTCCAGAAAATGATGTTATATAATCAATAGGATCTTTCCTCCTCCTCCTCCTTCTCCTCCTCCTCCTCCTTCTCCCCTTTCTCTTTCTTCGCAGTTCATTAAATAATGGCACATCTTAAAAATTCTAGCATCGGCGAGGCATGGTGGCTCATGCCTGTAATCCCAGCACTTTGGGAGGCAGAGGGGGGTGGATCATGAGGTCAGGAGATCGAGACCGTCCTGGCTAACACGGTGAAACCCCATCTCTACTAAAGATACAAAAAATTAGTGGGCGTGGTGGCGGGCGCTTGTAATCCCAGCTACTCAGGAGGCTGAGGCAGGAGAATGGCGTGAACCTGGGCGGCGGAGCTTGCAGTGAGCTGAGATCGCACCACTGCACTCCAGCCTAGGCGACAGAGCGAGACTCCATCTCAAAAAAAAAAAAAAAAAATGATAGCATCTTAGATTTGATTAAATATATCGATTGGCAGATAGATAGACTGACAGAGAGAGGAGAGAGAAAGGAAGAAGATAGAGCTGAAAAGGCAGAGACAGAGAGGTGAGGGAGCCAGATCCCGGGCAAGAGGTTTCAGAGAGTGGTTTGGGCCAGGTCATACCCTTGGGACTGGACACGGCCCCCCAGCCTGATATGAGACATTGCGTGCCTGGGGAGACACAGGTCTGGCTGAGGTTGAGGGGCTGCACAGCAGGACTCAGACGTGCCTGCCTGGGCAGGCGGATCAGCATGATGTCATCATTGTGGTCATTGGCACTGAGGTCCTTGTTGAAGCCAGGGTGGGGGAAGAAGTCTGTGGCCCGGAACAGCTGCTCTGGACCCTCCCATTTCCAGAGGTGGTGCTCTCCAAGGCGGACCCACAGATACCTGCTGGGACAGGCCTCAGAGGTCAAGCCGGGTGAAGGTAAAGGTCCTTTCAGTCCCAGCCCTCTTTTCCTGTCCA